TTGAGGAAATCCCTCCTGAAGTTCTCATAATGAAGCCCCTGCTCTGTAATCCATGAAAAGCTCTCCACCAGCATGTGCTGAGTAGGACAGACAGACACAAAATTACTACAAATTGTGTCTTGATCCACTAGTTCTTATCAGCTCTGAGGCCTGATAGGCCAGGTTTTAATGTAGAAAGATTCCAGCACTTCAATCCCACACTAAGATAATTGCATGGAAAAAAGGAGATTATTTTCCTTTTTTCCTTACTGGCAGGTACCAGTAATACAAACACAAAAGCATTCAGTGATGCCATCTTTAAAAAGTCTCACAAACTGTGCACTACCAACCCTTCAATAAAATACATAACAGCAATTTTTTTCAGAAGGGATTAAAAAGGGAACCTCTCAAAGACCCCAAAAACCCATAATCAGTGGGGTTTTACTATCAGTTATTTAATGACTCTTTTCACACTGCACTTGAGGACTCTGGGTTTAAATAGCACAAATTAGCTGCTAACCACAAAGAACTCTGCCAAGCTGAGCCCAGGTTAATTCCAGTTCACACTGCTGGGATGATGGCAGCTGCTTCTGCATCCCCAAACCCAAAGCTGTGCCAAAGGCAGCCCTGAGCAGCAGCTCCCCTGCCCTGGATGCAATAACCTGCACATGGAATAATCAGACTGGAGCAATGGTAAAGAAACAAGGTGGAAAACCTGATCCAACACCTCCTCCAGCCACGCTGCCAAGGATCAGCTCTCCAGGCAGGATTACTTCCCATATAATCTTTTTTTCTTCTTCAACATGTACAGATGCACTTGCTGGTTTTGTGTCCATTTTGAAGCTGAAGTGCATTAAAGATATTTTAAGGCAGCAGTTTGCAGTTTAACATAATGGGAGAAGCCAAAGCCATTTGGCAGACAATAAAGCAAACTTGCATATTCACAGGCAGCTCCAGGATTGGCTGAAATCAGGGAATAAAGGTCAACATTTTTGGTTAATTCTATTTAAAGCTCCGTGAATTAGAAGATTTGTGCAGCAAGTTCTGCTGCAGAGTATTCTCTATGTGATTAACTGGCAGAACAATCACAGTGGAAACTCTCCCAGTATTCCCAGGGCTCCATCCAGCCCAGAATCCTGCAGGAGCCACAGCAGCAGAATATTCTAATAAGAACTCCCCTAATCTTCACCCAGCAATAATTTCAAGATGATATTATTATTCTCATTTCCTTGAATAATATCCATACTCCAGGGCCATTTTCCTTCTCATATTCAATATGGGGCATGCTCCTATCAAGATTCCTTTCCTCATATCCTGTCACAGTATCAATCACTGCCTGCTGTCCACTCAATCCACTTTTGATTTATCAGCCCCGTCTTCCTGGACTCCATAACTCGACCCAAACCATTTTAGCAAGACAGTGACAAATAACACCCAGGATCACATCAACCTGTTCCACTTAGTAAACTAAGGAACAGGAACTGTGACATCCCTCCATAAGTATTCCCTGCTATTCCCCAGCCTGATGTATATTAATGAGGAGCTGCTATTTGAAATGCTCCTTCCACATCAGCATCTAATATGATCAAATTAGGAAATGGGATGATTTATTAAATTCTGTGGAGCTGAAATATTCCTTCCCAGCTCTGGATGCCTGGCTGCAGAGAGGGAGCTGTTGCTTCCAATTTTTCCACGGGAGGATGTGCCTGCGCTTCGCAGACGAATTATTGGCTTTAAAAAGATTGTGAGGAGGCGAAATGTTATTAAGCAAATGCTCAGTAAAACAAACTAAATCGGTTTTAAAATTCCTAATTTAATGTAAATCTTGGTTGTTTCTGCTGAAATTCAGTTTGTGATCTTATTAAGTCGTATTTGCATTGTACTCCCTCACTGTAGGACAGCTCGGAATTTATAGCATTACTGGGAAGCTCCACTTTTTTGACTTTAAAAATGCATCTAAAATAGGATAATTATAATATGCACAAGTTTTCTTATCTTCTCAAATAAAACACAACCACTACTGGGAAGCTCCATTTTTTTCACCCTAAAAACTGCATCTAAAATAAAACAGCCAATACACACACACAAGTTTTCTTATCTTCTCAAATAAAACACAACTATTATTAGGAAGCACCACTTTTTTTACTCTAAAAATGCATCTAAAATAGGATAACTATCATATGCACAAGTTTTCTTATCTTCTCAAAAAAAGTACAAGCAATACTGGGAAGTCCCACTTTTTTCACCCTAAAAATGCATCTAAATTAAAATAACTACAATATGCACAAGCTTTCTTCTCCAATAAAGTACAAGAAATCAGTTTAGGTTGCAAACAACACCTATTTAAAATATCTTACACATAGCATTATAAAAACCCAACTTTTCAAAGTAAAACTTGATCTATCTTAGTGTTTTGCACTGCTGGAGATCTGTAAATCACCTGCTCAAATAAAACACCTGTGTTAGAGAAGTTATTAGAAAATCCATTACTTTTAACACCACCTTCACTACCTTGAAAAACAAATTAAAAGAGGATTGTGGGGAGAAAAGATGTTACAGGACACAGAATCTGTGCCACCTGCATGATTTATACCAAAAACAATTCCAGGCATTTAAAGAGACCACGTACCACACCTGAACTTCCAACAGGAAGGTAATGTTCTAGAGGCTGACTTCTAATCAATAAAATAAAACTCACAAATGGCATTTTCTGGGCTCCTAAAGGGGATAATCCTCTGAGGGTGCAGTAGGAGGAACAAACCAGGGCTGATCTCCCCTCTCCAGGTGGGCAGCAGCTTTTCCTCCCTCCCTGGCACTGCAGAAGCTGCAGATCCACAGGAAGATTCCCCTGGATAACCCAGGAACACAAGGGCTGCCTGAGCTCCTCTGGAGCCTTTCATTAATTATTTTGTATTATTTACAAATGGTTCCTTCAGGGTTTACCTTGAAAAGCCATAGGAAAATAAGTTGTGCCACCCTGAACAAATAAAAATTCGGATTTACAGCTGGAATTCATGAGAATTCCATGCCAGCACTATAAACACATTTTCCAGGACATTGTCACACCTGCCCCAGGTGGGGCAGAGATGGGGAACCTCAACCCTGAACCACCTTTTCCCACCGTTTTGATTTTAGGTTTATTTTTTCTACACCTCCATCCCATTCTCTCTCTTCTCCACAAGCTCCTTCCCAGCCTGAGGAATCCTAAACTCCTTGGAAAGCTGCTGAGCCCCTGGCTTGGGTGATTTTGAGACAGAAAAGGGATTATTTGGCATCACTGACAAGCAGGGCAAGCACAGGCCTGGAGTAGCAGCTTTGTGCTAAACCAAGATTTAACTCTCCAAAATCAGATTAATGCAGAGCTGCTCAGTGCCACACTACAGCAGACTTGGAAAAAATTACAATAAAGGATGGAATGGCTCCTGTTGGGTTTAACTTTGAGCTTTTGGACTCTTGTGGGATCACTTGGGATGTTATTTAGGAATATTTTCCCTCTGTGGGTGTGAACAGGACCAGCATTTAAAGGAATGTACAGCCCTATCCCTCTAGTGCTGCACATTCTGTACGTGAAATGTTTGATACACCAAATATTTAATACATCAAATAGTTGATACATTAAATATCTGATACATCAACTATTTAACACCAAATATTTCCTAGCAGTAGCCAGGTTTTTCAAGTTTTTAGGTGCCTAATTTCCATATGTTGTAACCATGATTAAAATCAAATCCCTTGGAAAGATGACCGCTAAACCACAGCTAGTGAGAGCTGCAATTTATTTTTATTATACATTATTGTATGACCATTAAACCATAGCTAATGAGGTCTGTAATTTATTATATATTGTTTTATTATAATAAAAAATATTTTAAATCAGTTTATCACACTTCCCAACGCTGAGTATGTGACAAATCCTTCCCTTTCTCCTCATTCTTCCAACATTTCTGTGGGTTCAAACTGATTTTCTTGGCAAAAAAAAAAGTGGATATTCACAGGAGGAGAATACCTCTCCTTCAGGAGAGGTCATGCAGTTTGATTTCTAAATTTATTTCTAACTCTAAATAATTAAATTTCTACTACAAAGGCACTGCAGCAATAAAGGGTCCAAGCAACTCTTCCAGTAAACAGCTGGGAATAAGTCATGGCACAGCACAAAGAAGAGAAAGGGGAATATTCACATCTTTCAACAATTTTTCAACATTTAGAGGCAACAGCTCTCCTGGTTTGGACATGGGAACCAAAGGTTTAACAAATTCTTAGTGCAGGGACACAAAATCACCTGGCTGAAGATTTTAAATATGGACCCAAACAACTTTGATCTGCCTCATCCACTCAATAATTAATTTTAAATCAATAGAAAATGCTAATGGAAGCCTGGTAGCCAGGATAAACTTCAGTTAAACCTCTTCATTGAAAAATACACACAAACACAACCTGAGCATCTTTTAATTAAAGAAGAAAAGCAGATTTTTAAATACCTTTTGCAACTTCTGGTTAAGATTTAAACATTTAAATTGTGAAATATTTGTTTGTCACAAACCAATGCATGCAAATTTTCACTGCAGACAGCCTTAAATATTAATAAAAGATTGCATAACTAAAGACTCATCCTTTTCCAAGAGGAACACAGGTGAGAAAATCAGTTTATTCTGAACTTCAGGGAGCCAGTGTTATGTGTGGGAATTATGGAAAGCAGGAACCCAAGGGGAAAAAAAACCACGAGACATTTACAGATAATTGTATGACACCAAAGGATCCTATTTATGGGGTTTTTTTGCTTGAATCAAATGCAAAATAAATATCTTATCCTCAAAACTGTTCTGCCAGGGTAACTGAAAGATTTAGTGTGTGGCAAGCACTGCAGAGACCCCAGCTGAGGAATGGGAGGGATGTGTGATGGTTTGAGCCATCACCTGCAGCCATTATTGCCATTCATCCCAAGCCCAGTAATTCTGGCAGGATTTTCCAGGATATTTTTCCAGTAAAATACCACTGTTGTTTTTTCCTAGGGTGACCCTTACCTCCTGGTCCTGCTCTTGGACCTGGACCTTTGGGATCTGTAGGATTTGCCTCTGCCCCGGGAGCGGCTGCGCTTCCTCCTGGAGCCGTAGGAAGAGCTGCTGCTGGATCTGTGCCTGCGCCTGCAACAGAGCTGGGGTGAGCCTGGCACTGCCAAAACACCCCAGAAACAGCAAAAAACCCCGAGGAGTCCTGAGAAAACAGAGCTGGGGTGAGCCTGGCACTGCCAAAACACCCCAAAAACACCAAAAAACCCCCAAGGAATCCTCAGAAAACAGAGCTGGGGTGAGCCTGGCGCTGCCAAAACACCCCAGAAACAGCAAAAAACCCCAAGGAGTCCTGAGAAAACACAGCTGGGGTGAGCCTGGCACTGCCAGAAACCCAAAAACACCAAAAAACCCCAAGAAATCCTGAGAAAACACAGCTGGGGTGAGCCTGGCACTGCCAAAACCAAAACATGCCAAAAACACCAAAAAACCCCGAGGATTTCAGAGAAAACACAGCGGGGGTGAGCCTGGCACTGCCAAACACCCCAAAAACACCAAAAAACCCCAAGGAGTCCTGAGAAAACACAGCTGGGGTGAGCCTAGCACTGCCAGAAACCAAAAAACACAAAAAAAACCCCAAGGATTTCTGAGAAAACCGAGCTGGGGTGAGCCTGGCACTGCCAGAAACCCAGAAACACCAAAAAACCCCAAGGATTTCTGAGAAAACAGAGCTGGGGTGAGCCTGGCACTGCCAGAAACCAAAAAACACAAAAAAACCCCCAAGGATTCCTCAGAAAACAGAGCTGGGGTGAGCCTGGCGCTGCCAAAAACCCAAAAACACCAAAAAAAAACCCCAAGGAGTGCTGAGAAAACAGAGCTGGGGTGAGTCTGGCACTGCCAGAAACCAAAAAACACCAAAAAAACCCCGAGGATTTCAGAGAAAACAGAGCTGGGGTGAGCCTGGCACTGCCAAAACATGCCAGAAACACCAAAAAACCCCAGGGAGTCCTGAGAAAACACAGCTGGGGTGAGCCTGGCACTGCCAAAACACCCCAAAAACAGCAAAAAACCCCAAGGATTTCAGAGAAAACAGAGCTGGGGTGAGCCTGGCACTGCCAAAACACCCCAAAAACAGCAAAAAACCCCGAGGAGTCCTGAGGAAACACAGCTGGGGTGAGCCTGGCACTGCCAAAACCAAAACATGCCAAAAACAGCAAAAAACCCCGAGGAGTCCTGAGGAAACAGAGCTGGGGTGAGCCTGGCACTGCCAAAACATGCCAGAAACACCAAAAAACCCCAGGGAGTCCTGAGAAAACAGAGCTGGGGTGAGCCTGGCGCTGCCAAAACACCCCAAAAACACCAAAAAACCCCAAGGAGTCCTGAGAAAACACAGCTGGGGTGAGCCTGGCACTGCCAAAACCAAAACATGCCAAAAACAGCAAAAAACCCCGAGGATTTCAGAGAAAACAGAGCTGGGGTGAGCCTGGCACTGCCAGAAACCAAAAACAGCAAAAAACCCCAAGGAATCCTGAGAAAACAGAGCAGGGGTGAGCCTGGCACTGCCAGAAACCCAAAAACACCAAAAAGCCCCAAGGATTCCTCAGAAAACACAGCAGGGGTGAGGCTGGCTCTGCCAAACATCCCAAAAACAGGGACAAACCCCCAAGGATTCCTCAGAAAACACAACACTGCTCCCCAAGCAATTCCTGAAAAACACAGCCAAAGGTGAGGCTGGCACTGCTCCCAAAACCCCCAAAAAACAGGGAAAAACCCCCAAGGACTCCTGAGAAAACACAGCCAGGGCTGAGCATGGCACTGCCCAAAAATCCCAAAGAACAAGGATTCTGATTTTTCACTGATTTCTGGGATTTGGAATCCCAAACCCCCAGAACTCAGTGAAAAAACACAGCCAGGGGTGAGGCTGGCACTGCTCAAACACCCCAAAAAACCACAGACAAACCCCCAAGGACTCCTGAGAAAACATGTACAGACTTGGGGGCTTCACAAGGTGCTCCAGAAGCCTCAAACCCCACTATTCCCCCATAAGAAATAGCTCACACACAGAGGGACACTGTTACCCTAAAGAGTTGATCCTCCAAAATCCACATCCCAGGCAAAAAAAAGATTGGGTGGGGACCTTAACTACTATTAGTAGTAATCAGTTAATCAGTGTTAATTTATTTCATTTGAGTTCATTTAAGGGTAGTTCCCTCCTGAGTCCAATCAGGACTCAAAAGGGTCTCTTCCTTTTCCCCTCCCTCCCAGTTCTATCTATTTAAAGAATAAATTCTTCCACACCAAGGAAAAAGGTGAAAGAAAAGATATTAACCCCAAAATCCAAATCTTAACACTTTCTCCCCATCTCCCCAATAGTTAATTGATTAACAATTACAATCCTCCCTATTTTTGGCCTTTACTTGTGATTAATATTAAAATACAAAATTTATATTATACAATATTATACAATATTATACAATGCTGTCTTATATTATATCTTATATAATATATTATATACTATAATATAATATATTATATATATTATAGTATCTAATATAATGCATTAATTATATAATATATACTATATTGTATATTATATATTATATAATATATAATGTTATATTGATAATAATATATTATCAATGTATTATATTATATTATATTATATTATATTATATTATATTATATTATATTATATTATATTATATTATATTATATTATATTATATTATATTATATTATATTATATTATATATAAACAAGAATGGAATTCAGGATGTGCTCAGTGATGGTCCAGCATGAGGGAGAGGGGCAGCAGGAGCTGGAATGCTGGACAGGATAGAGAGGTTAATGCTGAAGAACAGGGCTGCTCCTGGAAAGGGAAGGTGATGTTCCTGCTGGATGAGGGACAGGAATTCCAGGAACTGCTGCCTTTGATTCCTGGGGCTCAGGGATAAACCCACATGAGCAGGGCCTGACCTGCCAGGAGCATCTGGGCTGCCCCAGGGGCAAAGGCAGGATCCCAAAGGCAGAGCCCTGGATCATTCCTGGATGCAGCTGGAATGCCCTGGGGCCCCTGCAGCCCCAGCCCCTCTGGGCTCCCTGGAGCTGTGCTGCAATAATGGGATCCAAGGAGCCCAGGCACCCTGCCTGGCCCTGGGGAGGATGGAGATCCCAGCAGGAGCAGCAGAAAGGGCTGGGAATGCACCCCTGAGGTGCCTCCTCAGCACACCCTGCAGCCACTGCAGAAAGGCCTGGCAGGAGCATTTCCTCCTGGACACCAGGAGAGTTCTCCAGCTCCTCCTCCCAGGGAATTCACCAGCACAAGCCAGACTGAGACAGCCAGGATGGAGCACGGAGCTGCTGCAGGGCTGGAGCCCCTCTGGAGCCAGGCTGGCAGAGCTGGGGGGGCTCACCTGGACAGGAGCAGCTCCAGGGAGAGCTCAGAGCCCCTGGCAGGGCCTGAAGGGGCTCCAGGAGAGCTGCAGAGGGACTGGGGACAAGGATGGAGGGACAGGAGCCAGGGGCAGGGATGGATGGGAGATTGGGAATTGGGAATTCCTGGCTGGGATGGGATTCCCAGAGCAGCTGGGGCTGCCCCTGGATCCCTGGCAGTGCCCAAGGCCAGGCTGGATGAGGTTGGAGCACCTGGGGCAGTGGGAGGTGTCCCTGCTGGCAGAAGAAAGGAAGAGCTATTTTACCTCCTGGGTTAAAGCAGAATTTCCCTTTGGATCTGCACATTCCCTGCTCTATTCTCCTGGAGGGGAAGGAGGTGTGGGTATTTCTGGTCATGGTGGTGGGTTTGGGGTTTTATTTTGACAAAGTGAAAACAGTTTCACATCTCCTAAGGTTCAGAACAATCTGTGCCATAAAATCCCAACCCGTGGGATCCAAACCCTTCCAGCTTCCTGCTGTAACACGACAAGAGTTTCTAAAATCTCCTACAAATGCACCTTTTCTCATAGGAATGGGACCAGGACGGGAGATCCCGGGAGCGCGACCTGGACCTGGATTTCCGGCCCGACTTTTTGCGGCTGTAGGCGCGGCTGTCCGAGGAGCTGCTGGAGGAGGAGCGCCGCCGGTGCTTCTTCTTCCTCCGGCTCCTGCCCTCCTCCTCCGTGTCCGAGGAGCGCCGGCCCATTCCGACCTGCACAGAACCAGACATCCCCAGCTGGGACAGGGCTGCTGCCTGCCCTGGCTTGGTTTGTATACATAATATTAAAAAAAAAAAAAATCAAAATACGCCTTTCCCTCTCCTCCTGTCCCTGGTCCCTGGAGCACAGCCCGACCCCCCGGCTGTCCCCTCCTGTCGGGAGCTGTGCAGAGCCACAAGGGCCCCCCTGATCCCCCTTTGCTCCAGGCTGAGCCCCTGCCCAGCTCCCTCAGCCCCTCCTGGGGCTCCAGCCCCTTCCCAGCTCTGCTCCCTTCTCTGCTCCTCCTCTTCCCAGCACAGACGGCTCCAACTCGCTCAATTCCTCCATCCAAACTCTGGCCCATCCTCACACCTCCGGTCACCAGGGCAGCACCTCCTGATCCACCGGGGAGCGCCTGCAGCGGAACAAAGGCAAATTCACCGTAAGGACACGGAGATCCCTCCGAGCACTGCCGGGAGCCACGGGGCTCCAGGGAACAACACCGTCCTGGAGAGCGGCCCGTTCTGGGCACGGCATCTGCACCGGGACAGGTCCCGGCAGCGCCGAGCCGAGCGCGGCCAGGCCCGGGAGCACCGGGATCCCCCCGAAGCCGCTCCCCGCCAGCACCAGCACCTCCAGGGACTCTTTCCCAGGGCCCAAGCCCTGCGCACGCCGGCCATCCCCAGCACAGCCGGGCTCCCCGTGAGGGCTCCGCCGGGGCCGTGCCCAGCGCTGGAGGCCGCTGCGCACACCCGGCCCTGCAGCGGCCGCCGACCGCCCTGCCGTGCCCTCGGGGACCGGTGCGGCTGTGTCCCGTGTCCCTGTGTCCCCCTGTGTCCCCGCAGTGCCCCCCGTGTCCCCCGTACCTGGCGGAGCCGCCGCGGCCCCGGTTCGAGCCCAGCGCCTTCCGGGGCGGCGGGCAGGCAGCGCCAATCCACCGCCGAGCGCGGCCAGGCGGCCGCAGCGAGCGCCGAGCCATCGATGCGGCGCGCCGGCGAGCGCCCACGCGGGACGGGCGGGGGTCGGGCCGGGGTCCCGCTGCCCACGGGGCCGCAGAGCCCACGGAGCGCTGTCGGCACCGTGCCCGACACGGTGACCGGCGCGGCGACCCACGGGCGCACGGTTGTGTGTGACACGCCGCGGGTGACGCGCAGGAGGGGGAGCGTGGGTGGTCCCGGGGTGGGGGTCCCGCTGCCCACGGGGGGCGCAGAGCCCACGGAGCTCTGTCCGCACCGTGCCCAACACGGCGACCAACGCGGCGACCCACGGCGTGTCCCGCCCGCCCCGTGTCCCGCCGCAGCGGGTGACAGCGGCACGGAGCGGTTTTCGTTCCGTCCCGGAGAGTTAAAGGAAGGTCGGGGTTTGTGGCACCGGGAGCCGCCCCGCGGGCGGAGGGCAGCGCTCCACGCGCGGCGTGGGCACCGCGGCCGTGCCCGCGGGACGGAGCGCGGTGGGCACGGACCGAGCCGGGACCCGCCGGGCCGGGCGGAGCCTCCGCCGGGCACCGACCAGAAATGCAACAGAACGATCGAATCGCTTCGCTTAATTCGATTTTCCTACCGAATTTGGTTCGTTCAACGCGAGCTCCCGAGCGCGCGCTCCCCCGCCACGGGAACGGCGGAACGCGCGTGGGGATAAACGAAATGTCAGGGCGGAGGGGCCGGCCAGGGTCACCCGGGCGCTCGGCAGCCGCGGCGGGTCCGTCACACCGAGTGCCCCGGTGCGCGGTGCCCCGGGGATCGAAAACGCCCGGCGGGAGCGGCTCCCGGGCGGCGCCACCCGCGCGGGCACCGGGACTCGCTGCCTGTCGCGACACGGTCGCGTGTGACCGGCTCGGAACAAACCCCGCTGGCACCCCCGGTCCCGAACCTGCCCCGGTAAATGAACGCTCCGTTATGTGCAGTCATCGCCCCAAAGGTCAATGAAAAATCGATACGCAGGCAAGAGTTAAACAATTCTGAATAATTTATTAGAATTTAGCGAAGGTGGGAAAGAGGCGAGCTCCGTCGACAAAAGTGCTCCGCGGTGGGATTTTAAAAAAACAAAGGGAAACCAATATCAGCGATATCGGCGCGTTTGGCTCTAATCCGGTGCTCGCTGCGCGCCCGCTCCTCCCGCGGCCGCGTCCCTCGCTGTCATTTGTCCCCCCGGGTTCTCGGGGCGCTCGGGCGCCCACGGAGGAACTTTTGCGGCTCCCGCGGGGCCGGGGCCGGGGCCGCTCCGGTTGGCCGTGCCCGGGGCTGACCCGAGCCGTGCGGGGCGGTGCGCGGAGCCTGCGCGTCCCCGCCGCCCCCCCGCGCGTCCCGGTGGCCACTCCCCCGCCGCCCCGGCCCCGCTCCGCGCCGCGCTCGCCCGGGACCTCGCGCACGGTCCCGCGCCTAATTAAATTAATTAGGGCGCAGCGCGCGGCGGGCGGGCGGTGCCGTGGCCGCAGTGCCCCGCGGCGGGCGGGCGACCGGCGAGGACGGGAGGAAGGAAGGGAGGAAGGAAGGGGTCCATTCAGAGCTCCGAGGGGAGGTAATTCGCCGGGAACAAGGGGCCGGCTTTGCAAAGTATAAATAGTGCCACTTCAATCGCGGCGTCGCTATCAGACCCCGGGAGCCCTGCACGTCGGGCGGCACGGCCCGGCCCGGCTCGGCACGGCCCGGGGCGCCGCCGCCGCCTCCCCGCCCCGTGGATGCCCGCCCGGGGAGCCGGGGCAGCGCGCCCCTGAGCCATGGAGGAGCTGACGGCGTTCGTCTCCAAGTCGTTTGATCCCAAAGCCAAGGAGAAGAAGGAGCTCATCACCTACCGCGAGGTGCTGGAGAGCGGGCCCCTGCGCGGCGGCGGCGGCGGCCCGCGGGAGCCCGGCGGGGCGGCGGCGGAGCCGGGCCGGGAGGACACGGGCAGCCCCGCGGCGCGGCCGGCCGGGCGCTCCCCGCCGCGGGAGCCCGACGCCGCCGCCGAGAGAGCGGCCGAGGCGGCCACCCCCAAGCTCAGCGACGGTAACGGCGGCACCGCGGGCTCCCCCTTCTCCCGTTCCCGTTCCCCGTCCTCCCCTTCCCCCGTCGGGGTCGGTAGGCGCGGGGCGGCCGCGGTCGCGGGTGGCCGGCGGGGAGGCTGCGCCCGGCGGTGATGGGCGGCTGCCCGGGCGCTCCCAGCCGCGGGAGACCGGCGGCCGGCCTCGAAGTTTTTAGATTAAAATATTTAAACCCGGATTTAACTTGCTCCGAACGCGATCTCGTTCCCGTTCGGCATCCCACGGGAAGCCGCGCCGCCAACGAAAGCCCGGCCCCGCGGGCCCGTTCGTTCCCCCGCGGCTCCGCGGACTCGCGTGGGGCCGGGCCGCGCTGCCCACGCTCAGCCCCGCGCCTTCCGGCAGATCCGCCCGCGGCTGTTCCGCGCGGCACCGCGGGGCCGGCACCGGGGCCGCCCGCCGCTCCCGAGCGCTGCGGGAAGCGGCCGGGCCCGTGCCCGTGCCCGCGGGGACCCGCGGGTCGCTGCCGCCCTTTTGTTCGGGCCGGCGGAGCGCCCGGAGCATCCCCGCTCGGATGCCCGCAATGAGGCGATCGGAGCGGCGCGGAGCCGCGGCGGGACCGGGCCGGGCGGCCCCGGGGGGTCAGGGCGAGGGCCCCGCTCTCCGGCCCGGGGCGCGTCTCCGGCCGAGAATTGACCGAGAGAAGCGGATCCCGGGGGCGCGGAGGGGCCGCGGCGGCCGGCGGAGGCTCCGGGGACCTGTTGCTGAGCATCCCCCGGGGGCGCGGCGGGGCCGGAGGGGAGGGCTCGGTGCGGACCCCGTTCTCCCCGGCAGCGGTAACCGGAGCCGGCGGCGGAGCCCGGCACGGCAGAGGCCTGGCGCGGCCCGGGCGCACAGGCCCCGCTCCCGGCTGCCCCGGCCCCGGGGCGCTCCCGGCCGCATCCCCACGGTCGCCGGCAGCGGCGGGAGCGGGGCCAGCCCCGGTGCCCCCGGCCCCGCCGCGCCGGCCCCGCCGCTCTGACTGCTGTGTCGTGCCCAGTGTCCCCAGAGCTGAAGGAGCGCAAGGAGGATGCGAAAGCGATGGAGGACGAAGGGCAGACGAAAATCAAGCAGAGGAGGAGCCGGACGAATTTCACCCTGGAGCAGCTGAACGAGCTGGAAAGGCTTTTCGACGAGACCCACTACCCGGACGCGTTCATGCGGGAGGAGCTGAGCCAGCGGCTGGGGCTCTCCGAGGCCAGGGTGCAGGTAGCCGGGGCTGCGCGGGTGCGTGTGCTCGGGGCAGGGGCAGCTCGGCAAGAGCCGGGGAGATGATGGGGACGAGCCCCATCCTTGTGTCAGGGCGAGGAGGCAGCTCCGCAGCTCCCCGGCTCCCAACTTCTGCCGCAAATCTGCCAGCGGCCTCGCAGGGTTTTGCCTGCCCGCGATTTGTGTCCCCGTCCCTCGGTTCTGCCGCGGTTTTATCCCAGCTCCGCCGCTGTTCCATCCCATCCCCGCCTCGGCAGCCGCTCCCGGGGCCGCTGCCCGGCTCATCCATGGACAGCGATTCCCGTCATGGATGTCGCGACCATAAACTGAATTAGACACCACCGAGTGAAACAATGATAGATGCATTTTCAGCCCGTTTCGCCTCGTAGTTCTTAAATGTTGAAACGGCAGGAAAATTGAGCGAGGTGCTTTGTTCGGGTTTATGAAATACAGAAAGTCTGGGATTAACCCGAGATATTTTGAGCTTTCTGCCCTCCCGGGAAGCCGCGGCTTCTCTGGGTTTAACCTGCGCTTTGCACCCTCCCAAAGTTTTTTTCCAAACGGGTCCCTGGGCTGCTTCCTGCGAGTTTTGTCGGGATGAGCTGAGGAGCGGGGAGGAAGGAGATCCCTCAAATGAGAACAAATGTAGCTGCTCCGGTGTATTTCCGTTCTGAAAATAAAAGAAGAGAAAATGATGGTCATTATTTGCTGGAACACATGGAGAAGTTTTAGGCCCCGAACATCTGCAGCTGGTGGAAAGTATCGCTGTAACAGATACTCCCCTCAATCTTTGTGCTCGCAGGCACCATCTGCACCCAAGTACGCGCTCGGTCCTTGGGGGGTTTCCCTGCATCGTGTAAGGTTGTGAGGACAGAGGCAGAGCCGGCACGGGGAACCGAAAAACTCAAAACGAGCAGCTTTTGTCAGAGCCTAAACCACAGGGAAAAAAAAAAAAAAAAAAAAGAAAAGAAATAAAAAAATAAAAGTCTTCATTTTCCCTCTCTTCTCCCCCTCCTTTTTATATTTTTTGGGTTGCTTTTTTTTGGTTTTTTTTGTTGGTTTTTTTTTTTGCTGGCTGCTTGGTTGGTTTTTGGTTGGTTGGTTTTTAATTGTGTTTGTTCGTGATTTTTAAATTTATTTTTTATTTCTGTTCACCAAACCCTAACAAAACCAAGGCAAAAAGTTGTTGGCTGTGGAAAATGGAGCAGGGAGGTGCTCGACAAAGGAGGCGGCGGCGGCGCATAATCCGCGCTCCCATGATGCCAAATCGCAGGGTGCATAATAACTTTTGGAGATTTACATAGATTAAAGCCATTCCCTAGAAATCCTCCCGGAAAAAAAACCGCTTTTCAATAATATTTTGCCTCGTATCTGCTCTAATTTGTAAATGACGGAAGGCGCGTTTGTTTCCACGGGAGGCTGAGGGCGAACGTGGCTCTTGGGCAGATTTTCCCTGGCTGGAGAAAATGACAGGGCGGGTGGAATTCCCGTTTATATTTGTCTCTTAAAGTAAGACCTCAAAAAATGCAATTTTTATCTTTTTTTTAATCTTTTTTTTTTTTTTCCTGGCCGCGGGGAAAGGATTCCTTGGCCGATGTGGCTGCTGGGATGCGCTGCAGAGCCCTGGGTTAAAACGGGGATGTTTTAGGACCGGCTCTCCCCCTTTCCCTCCCTCCTTTCCCAAAGCCAGCAGAACTTCGGGCTGGGAATTTATTTTAACGATTCCATTTCCAATATTAAAAGTACGTTCTTGTCTAACGGGGCAGCCTCTTCGGTGCAAGCAAATTAGATTATTATGATAATGAGATAATTATTCCGCTTCTGCGCTACACTCCAGTGAACAGAGAAATTCGAAACTTCTTTGTAGCGAAGCTTTTAGGACCGTGATTCTCCTCCACCCCCCACAAAAAAAAGAAGATAAAAAGTCATAAAACGCTGTTATCGTTGAGTTTTTCTGTAAGATAGAGCTAATTAATTTATTTATTAATGAGCACGAGCTTCTCAGGCCATTACCGCCCGTCAGTAGTGGGTATCGAGGGCGATTCCAGCCTTTTGGGAGTCTGCTGCGGAAAGAGGAGCCCGGGGCTCGGGCAGTCATTTCCCTGGGGGTGCACGCTGCTCTTGGCCATTTTCGGGGGCTTTGGGCTCTTTCCCTTCTGCCTCTCGGAGCTGGGGAGCGGGGGCTGCCCGGGCGGGGGGGAGCGGAGCGCACCCGCGCTCTTTGTCCGCGGCCTTCGGGGCATTTGAAATCACATTTAAATCATTACTGCGGTTATTACCGTTGTGGCTGTCGTTGTTCTGGCGCGGCCGTGACGCCGTGTCCCGCTCCGCTCCCGCAGGTTTGGTTCCAGAACCGCCGGGCCAAGTGCCGCAAGCAGGAGAACCAGCTGCACAAAGGTAGCGGGGCCGGGGGCGCGCCGCGGGCACGCGCGGGGGCTGCGGCCGCGCTGACCGCCCCGTGTGCCCTTGCCAGGGGTGCTGATCGGCGCCGCCACGCAGTTCGAGGCCTGCCGGGTGGCTCCCTACGTGAACGTGGGCGCGCTGAGGATGCCCTTCCAGCAGGCGAGTGCGCTCGGGAGGGCGGCGCGGGCACAGCGCGGCCCCGGGGGTGACACGGGCCGCCCTCTCCGCTTTGTCCCCGCAGGTGCAGGCGCAGCTGCAGCTGGACAGCGCCGTGGCCCACGCTCACCATCACCTGCACCCGCACCTGGCCCACGCCCCCTACATGATGTTCCCCGCGCCCCCCTTCGGGCTCCCGCTGGCCACCCTGGCCGAGTCCGCCTCCGCCGCCTCCGTGGTGGCCGCCGCCGCCGCCGCCAAGACCACCAGCAAGAACTCCAGCATCGCCGACCTCCGCCTCAAGGCCAAGAAACACGCCGCCGCCCTCGGGCTGTGACCGCCCCGCTGCTGCTGCTGCTGCTGCTGCTGCTGCTTTATTTTTTCCAAAAAAAAAAAAAAAAAAAAAGGGAAAAAAAGAGTTAAAAAAAAAAGGAAAAAGGAAAGAAACGAGGGAGAGGAGAAACGGACGGGAGATATATACTTATTTAAGGAATTAGAGGACGCGCAGCTGGGAAGTTCACAGGTTTTGAAACTGACCTTTTTCTGCGAAGTTCACTTTAATACAAGAAATTTGATAAGAGAGGCGGGCCTCCTTTCACGTTGCATCAGGTACTTGAGTTTAACAACCACGTCTGGAATAGCGACAAAAAAAAAAAAAAGAAAAAAAAGGAAAATAAAAAAAGAAAGAAAGACTACGACGAACAGGAAAAAAAAAAAAAAAAGGGAAAAAAAAAGACAATGATTTCTCTGCGAATTTCTAATGGGAAACTGTCCGGGATACTTCCTCCAGCAGCATTCCGGGTTGCATGTATTTGTATTTCATTGATGGAGTCCTTTGATTCACTTGCACTTCACCCTCATCTTTAGTAGAAAAAAAAAACCGAGACAACCACAAAAGCAAACAAACAAACGTGGCTGGGTTCTTTCTCCTTTAATCTTGGAGGGAAGCAGGCAGAGAGAGGCAGATCAAGCGCTACCTTTTCCACTCTCAAATCTTTGTTGGTCGTTTGCTGTCCCACCTCTGAAATAAAAGGGAGCGGAAAGCGCCAGGAGAGCGGAGTTTGCCTCCCTTTGCCGGGTCTCTCCTATCCTGAGGGCAAAAGTAAAGGGGAAAAAAAAAAGGAAAAGGAAAAAATAAAAAGAGAGAGTATTTAATTCCCAACCACCACTTGACACCACGGCAATTTCCAATAAGAGGTACTGGGTACATGTAAAATATGTTGATACACACGAACAAAGTTTATTTTGGCTATAACTTGTGAATTGATAGTTGACTGTCAAACATTTACATTTTATCTCATAAAGGTGTATCTATTCACGTAACCTTGTGATTTTTTGGTTATTATTATTATTATTTGAGAGACGTATAGCTATTTAACCTGGGGTACCCTGCAGTCAGTGATTGTTATCCCAGATTTTGCCATCTGACCCTCATGCTTATTGCCAAGACAGAGGGAAAGCTCTTCTACGCGAACTTTGGTATGGACGGGCTTTGTATCTATTTGTTCTCCATGAAAACAAAATTATTTATATTGACCATATTTTTTCTAGTGTATTTTAAGTTATTTAAAAAAGAAAAAAAGAGAAAAAAAAAAGAAAGCAAGATGCTGTTATCTCATTGCATTTGTTGTCAGTACAATATATTTTGTTTCACTCAGGTTTGCTTCACCTTTTTTAATCCATTCTCGACGTCACGAATTTCAATAAGTGCCAAGTAATGAATTTAAGACACTTTGCCTATTGACTGACGGGGGGGACGGTTCGGGGGCCGGTGCCAGCTCCCTGCCGGGACTGTCGGTGTCCAGCCAGCGCTGATGTTCTTTCTTTTCCGTGTTCTCACCTCCTGTAGATCTCGCACGTTTCTTTCCGCTCCGTAGATGTCGCGACACGCCGATAGCGCTCAGCACGACGAGGAAGCGCCGCTCGCCTCCGCGCAGCTTTTTTTAAAACATTTTTTTTCCCCTCCACTTTCTGTGAGTTTTCCCCGAGTTTCGGCTGCACAAACCGGGACGTTCGCGTTGGGCTTTTCTGCGGCAGCCGAGCCGGGCGGACGCTCTATCGCAATTGTGTCTTTGCGAGTTCTGTCAGGTTCCCTCAGGTAATAAAAGCGAGCAAAGCGGAACGGCTCGGAATCTTTTCCAGGGCGGGATCCGGGGGCACCGGGACCCCCGCGCCCGGGCATTGCCCGCACCAGGGCAGAGCCTGCACCGAGCCAGGGCAGAGCCCGCACCGTGCCCGGGCATTACCCGCATCGAGCCCGGGCAGAGCCCGCACCAGGGCAGAGCCCGCACCGTGCCCGGGCAGAGCCCGCACCGAGCCCGCACCAAGCCAGGGCAGAGCCCGCATCGAGCCCGGGCAGAGCCCGCACCAGGGCAGGGCCCGCACCGAGCCAGGGCAGAGCCCGCACCGAGCCCGCACCAAGCCAGGGCATTGCCCGCACCAGGGCAGAGCCCGCACCGAGCCCGGGCATTGCCCGCACCAGGGCAGAGCCCGCATCGAGCCCGGGCAGAGCCCGCACCGTGCCCGGGCATTGCCCGCACCGAGCCCGGGCATTTCCCGCACCGAGCCCGAGCATTGCCCGCACCAGGGCAGAGCCCGCACCAGGGCAGGGCCCGCACCCGCCCGCTCCCACCGAGCGCTCCCGGGGCGCTCCGGGCCCGGCGCTCTCCCCACGCCGGGATTCTCCTCCCGCTCCTCCCGGGGCGCCGGGAAGCTCCGGGAAATCCCGTCGGGAGGAGCCGCTCCGGGCCAGCGATGGACGGGGCTGGCCGGGGATGCGCAGCCCCCGAGCCCCGCCGAGGAAGGGTCGGGAAGGGCTGGGGAGGGTCCCCAGGGCCGGTGCGGCACCGCGGGCAGCGACGGGAGAGCCCGAGGTGTCCCCGCGGGATAGGCAGGGACAAGGACCGGGATAAGGACAGGGACAAGGACAGGGATGAGGACAGGGACAGCCAGGGCACCCCCGGCGAGGCCCCAAGCAGCTCGGCCGTTCCTGTGCTAATAACAGGCTGGAAATGATAGATTTTACATTAGGTAAAACAGCTTTATTCCAGCAAAAGTAAGATACTGCTAATTATAAAGTCAATAAAAGTAGCGGTGCTGTCGATTGATCCCGAGTAGAGCAGTTCATTAATATGTGCAGGAGAGCATGGCAGGCTCAGCCCCGGCCTCAGCCACCCTCTGCCCCCTCCAAATAAACCTGCCAGGTCCTGCCTGCTCTGCCTAAGGCACAGCTGGTTGAGGTGGAGCTGCCCAACAGCCTCGTGCAGGTTTTTGGGGGTGGAACACAAACGTGGTGGGAACCTCAAACCTTCCCCCAGCTCTTGGCATGTCTGTCTTCAAGATGGTTGTAATAAAAAGTCAGGGAAAATGGGCTTTCATCCTATCAGGGAAGGTGATTGGATGGTGTGAGAGAACCGTGTGGTTTTTAGCACAGCTGTGATTAAAATAAAATAGCCTTAACGGGATGTTTTGGACAGGAATACTCACATTCCTGGTTTCCTTGGACTGGAATCCCTAATAAGTCTACAGGCCAACAGAAGTTGGCCAGGACTCTTCTGTTTCTATTTTATTTCTTAGAGTGTCTGAACCTCTACAAAACCCCGTAGATTTCCCCAAATTTAATTATGGATCTTTCAGGAACCAGCCAGCTCTCACAGTCCGTGCTTCCTGCAGATAAAACTTTGGTGTGGGATTGACAGGGAGACGCGCTGGCCTGAGCAGGGGGGTGGAGAAGGGATCCAGAAATGCTGCAGGAAGGGGCAGACACCTGTTCCTGTCCTGGCAGAGCCCGTGGGGCGCTCCAGCAGGCCCTGCCGTGGGTTCTGTGGGGCTCAAGGCGCAGTTCCCCCGTTTTGTTGTCTCTCTGCAGCAGCAGGAGCGAGGAGAGCGGGGCAGGGAGCAGCCAGAGCTGTGCCAGGGAGCTCCAGCCCCGCAGATCCTGCCTGGATCTCAGCTCTGCCCACACCACGGCGTGCAAGGAGCAGGGGGAGGCAGCAAAGGTGCAGAGCCCTGGCACAAACCTGCTCTGTGCCCTGGGGCTCTCTCGCAGCTCCGCTCCTCCAGGCCAAGCTCTCAGAGCTGAATTTTGGAGGAGCAGCCTGGGAACAGCAGCCGAGCCTCTGTGGGATCCTCGGAGGGAGCTGTGGCGGGGCAGCCACGGGATGAATGATGTGTTGTGCCAGCAGCACAGCCTGTGCTCCTTCCTGCCCAGCAAATATTGATACTTGCTCCATTTTGTGGCTGTTCCCGTTTTGTTTGCCCTTGAATCCTCAGTCCCTGGCTATTTCTGAGCCTGATTCCCTCACTGTGAGGTGCCAGCAGGTGAAAGGGCACCTTGAAGGTCACCTCCTCCTGCAGAGGTTTGAGGAATAAAAGCAGGAGATTTGGATCCCCTTGGGGCTTCTGAGGTGGGCAGCAAAGTTCTGCAGGGACCTGGAAAAGTTGTGCTCATTTTTAAATTTCGCTTCCCTGCATTCAAGCAGCGACTGCCCCTGGTTTTCCTGGAGGATCCAGTGAGTGTTCCCAGCCACGGGAGCTGTCACTACTCACACTTTACACCAGCACTCAGCCTTCCCTCCAGGTGTTCTTTAGGCAATTAACTTGGTGTGAGTGAAGGAAATCCTCAGAATTTTCGACACCCCAAGTCCCCCTGCTCTGCTGGCAGGCCCTGGGGCTTTGGGATGTGTTTGTGCTGCTTTGCCAGCTCCTCCTGGCCCCAAGGGCAGAACCAGCAGAGCCACCAATGCCCATCACCTCCCTCAGCCCTGTGCTAACACCGGGGCTGCTTTGACAGGGGGAAGAGCCACACAAACCCTCCCTTCCCCGTGGGAGGCTGAGGGTTGGGGCTGGGAGTGCCAGGGCTGGGAGTGCCAGTTTTGGGGCTGTGAGTGCCAGTTTTGGTGCTGTGAGTGCCAGTTTTGGGGCTGTTTTGGTGCAGTGAGTGCCGGCGCTGCTGCCCACCCTCCCAGGGAACAATTCCTTCCCAAATCCCACCCATCCCTGCCCTCCATCACTTTGAAGCCATCCCCCTCCTTGCCCTGTCTCTACACGCTCTTAGGAAAAAACATCTGAATTTTGGAAGCACCCAGAAGAAGACACAAGGATTCTCCTGAAGGTGATTTTAGTTCAGTGCCTGAATTCTGTGAGGGCTGGCCCAGGTGGCCTCCCCTGCTGTGTGCCAGAGCATCCAGGAGGGGCTTTGGCAGCCCAGCACAGACAGCAGTGTGCAAACTGTTATTATTAACAACAACACACTTCCCACCCTCTCATTGTCCTTTGAGTAAATATTTAAGCAGTGGAAACTTGGCTTGCACTTCCCCAGACTGGCAATCTGCTGGA